CTCACACCAAAGATCCTTCAGCAAACATCGAAGACTGAAATTGAAGATTAGAGACTGGCGCGTACGTGATCTGAAGCGGTATTCAGTGATTACAAGCCCGTCTAACTATGTGTGAAGACTGCTCTAGCTTCAGCGAATGATGATGAGACCTTCAGGTCATTTCAGCATTCAGCAATCAAATGAAGCTTGCTTAGCACGATTGTTGTTGTTTTGTCCTTGCACACAGAAAAGGACAAACTCGATGACAAATTTAGGAGTTGTTTCTCAATTCTATAAAAAACGATACTTTTTGTAATTATTTTTGGGTATATATTGACCGTTTTCAAAAGATGAAAACGCGTCGAGTACAAGTTTAGGAATTGTTTATCGGTACTATAAAAACTATATTTTTTGTAATTATTTTAGATGTATATTATATTAGATTAATTATATGGTGCCATCGTTTGAAAAAAAAAAATTGGATCCGTCCCTGCATTGTGCGGGTACACAACTATGTAAATTTCATCCATTTTCACGCATACACCCTCTTATGTCCAGTCCTACTATTATGACGTCAACGTTGTTTGTCGGATCAGTTCCATGGAAGGATGGTTGAATGCGTGAATCCTATGTCTTATGGGTAGATGGGTTGTACCTAGAGTCGAATCTGATGTATCCCGTTTATTTTTTACAAAAATGTTAATCTCCTTATCTGGTAGGCTAAATTCATTGGTAGGGGTGTAACTATTCGAGTTTTTAATGAGTTATTCGAGCTCAAGCTCGGTAATATTTTATTTTGGACAAATAAACTCTTGAACTTTTTAAAACCGATTAAATAAATTGAAAAATGACTTGTAAGCAGTTTAGACGATAAAAATAGTTTTAACGTACAAGTATTTAAAACACGGTACAAGTTGTTAAAGCTTGTCAAAAGCAAAAACAAAAATAGAAAACCTAAAACGACCCTCAAAAATAAAAAATAACGAACATTTATTGATCATATCGTAAATAATTTTTAAAACAAAAAAAGCCCCCATATATACACGTGTGTGTATATAACAACAAATATTGTCTCTAAATCTAATCCAACGATTATTCCTCCATCTCATCTACAACAAATTTAGACGAGCTCGAAAATGTAACGTATAAAAATTCGGTTTATATGGAAGCCGGAGCGGGAGCACCACGGATGTTTTCACTAGATACGGGACCTGCGGCAACACCGGAGCTCAAAAGCTCGACCATGGCACGACGAGGGTTGCTTCGTTGCTTCTCGCACAATTCTGGTAAATATACTCCTGAAAAATAGTATATATTGAATATTAATTAAATATTAAGTACACATGTAAAATGACGACAACACCCTTTTTGGATCCTTTTTATTGTTGTTTTGGTCACGGTCATGGTTAGTTAATATGACCCATTCAAAGGTAACTAGAGATATTGACCTCATAACATCATGCATGTTACCAATTTTTCTTTTTTGAATCAAGAAAAAGAATATAAAAAACTTTAATATAATTTTATTTAATTTATTCGTTCGAAGATTTTATTTTAAGGGTTTTGTTTATATGACGTTAAAAATCTACGCTAAAAATTAAACGGGATAAACAAATGAATCTTTACCTTCACCGGCGGCCAGATTGAAGTAAAGGTCAACGATATTGGGGCAGTTTTGGTAGCAAGCGGGCGAGCAGATCTTGGAGACGGATTGTGCTTCGAGCAAAGAATCGGACGAAATCCCGACCGAGTTGCGATCAACRCCACAAGCCTTAACGCATTCGTCRGTCTCTATATACTCCGCCATCCTCTCCACCACCACTTCCGATGTTGTACATTGATATCCCGTCTTCCCGTTATTGTTCTCAAAGTTCTCCAACAAACATCTCTTCCCGGACGACGCAATAGAAAAYGAGCAAACCTCTGTTGGCAAATCGTCACATACAATCTCACCTGAAAAACAAACGATTGATTCATCACCCACCGATCAAAGAACGATCTGAGGAATTCATTTTATGCAAGAAAATTGAACTCTTTTATGGTGAAAGAGAGTTGTGATCAAGATCCGACGGTTGTAGTTGTGTTTAAGGAAATGATCATATGTATATATATACCTAGGGTTCCTTGAAGGAAGATGGCGGAAACGAAGAAGAGAACCGGAGAGAAGAAGAATGAAGAAGCCATGAAATTTGAGTTTTCTTAGTATTCGTGGAGTTTGAGGAGAACAAGTGTTGTCTTTGTGGTTTTAGGAGAATATGAGGATGTCTGTATATATATAGAGATGCATATGTATATATAGGAGTATAGGAGGGAGGTGTGCTTATTGAATAAGTTGACGGAAGCGCGTATAAAAATAGAAAAGAAAATTGAAATACGGCGGGACGCGTAGTTATTGCGTTTCATCACTCCTTCCGCTGACGACCTAAGCAAAGTCTTTGTGGAAGATTCTACCTCCCTATACTTTCGATTATGCTCCATTTAGGTCCTTTCACTTTTAAATAGTACATATCGTTACCAAAGTTCTTGAAGCATCTCGGAATAGGTATGAACACAACATGAACAGTTATGAACACAATAAGAAAATAAGTTATAAACACAATATGAACAGTTCGTAAATGATAGTTCCTTCATTATGAATACATTCAAAAGCCAGCCGCTGTTGAGAAATGCAGATAGTCTACATATGAACACAATATGAACAGCTTGTGAACAATAGTTTATGAACATAAATCGACATATACGAAATCTTTCGATAAGTTATGAGCACATGTGAAACAAGTGTTAATTATATAACTGTATGCAAGATGATGAACAACCCATTTGAACATGTACGTACACTTATGGTCTTATCGAGAAAGGTCTAGAACATATATGATCACAACATGAACATATACATTTATACACATTTTTTTTATTAGCCTGGATATTCAACCCGCTATGCGAGCCGATTAATCCCAGGGCGACCACCTGTTTTGCAAATAGCCCGGAGTCACCGCATTTGAACCTCTGTGGCCACAAGGGGATTTTTATTTCTCATTGGATTTGAGTCTGGGACCTCCTGATACTTTTGACCTTTGGAGCCAAGATCAAACCAATCACGCACCACCCTTGTGGTTTACATTTATACACATTTTGATGCTCACGTAATTGGATATTCAATAATAAGTTAACAAAAATCATGGGATTTTATGATTTTCTAACTCCCAATTAATTATATGTGAGTTACATAAAAAAAAATTACGTATTTATCCTTGTCATTAAATTCTAAGATGAATAGGAACCTACATATAAAATGGATTGTCATTGGTTGAAAATGGCTAATAAAGTTAGCACAATAAACTTGATTAACATTTGAACCAAATTTTATATATATATATATGTATATATATATTATTTTGATTAATTTATTTTTAAACTAAAGGACGTTATTAGGTGTTGTATAAGTAAATATAGAGCCGGCATGGACAAAATTATTGATTAGTTATTAATTAGCTTCAAAAATTCAAAATTGTCTCGTAAATAACGACCAAAAAAGGCCACCCTATGAAATGCCACATAGTAATCATCAAATACAAATGGAAGCAAATTAGTTATTTATGTTTTACAAATTAAAAAGGAAACAAATGATCACCTCTATTTCTGGCTATCGATAACTAACCTCTCCCTTTATTCATCTTCAGAAACTGCTACCCAAACAACTAATGCAGTATACAAAATAATAAAAGTACTAATACTATTAATAGTTGTAGACTAACTGAATCTGAAACACAATATTAATTTGAAATCTTACTTACAACTACAAAAAAATAAATATAAATAAGTAGAACATTTTACAAAATTTATTGAATAGAGTGGTAGCCTTCTACGTAGATGGTTGTCAAGTTGTGACAATATTGACCTATGTTTTTCGGTTTTAACGGTACTGGAAACTTGTATTTTTTAGATCATTAAAACTACCCATGGTTTTTATTGTAACAACTCGTCTCACATTGATAGAATGTGAGAATTGTTAGCTCCTTATAAGTATCAAGTAGTGGACTACCAATTACTTCCACTATGATTTTTAGTTTGATTCGAAGTTATCGGATCAGTCTGTTGCTTGAGGCTTTGGGACTGTTTTATTTATGTTATTGAATTTTGCAATGATTTATATTTGGTAACATTCTTATTGAATTGTTTAATTAGCTAGTATTAGTTAGATACTCTCTAATATGGCAACCTTATAGCAAAGTGTATGGACAAATTTCTTTCATCAAATTTGAATTCTTTTATTTGGTTCATTTCTTGAAATGGATGAAATCCTTCAAATTCCGTTGAATTCCACAAATTAATGAATTCATCATTACTTGGCATAATGGAAGGAATTGAATTTCATCACCACTCACCACGACCATGTTACTATTGTTCTTCATGCCCCACCCCTTACCCCCCACCGCCACCAAGCCACTTATGTTGTCATCACACCCACCTACTCCCCGGTCACTCCTTGCACATCCCTACTACACGACCCACCATTAAACAACATGTCACTATTGTTGTCATCATATCCACCTATTCCTAGGCCCCAGCCACCCGACCACTATCCCGCCACTTTGATTGTCACAAGTACCACCCTGCCACCTACCTCTACCCACCTCACCATCTTGGGCTCCCCCCCCCCCCCCCCCCCCCCCCCCCCCCCCCCCCCCCCCCCCCCGCGCCTTACCCTACTCCAACCCACCACTAACCACCATACCACCATTGTAGTCAGTGGCGGATCTAGGATTTTTGTCTACTGGGGTCACCTTTAAGATAGACTAAAGGTCCGCAAAATCGTCCGATATGTTTTTAACCTAATCACAACGTTTCAAGGGATTTTTAAAGGTTTTTGGTTGATTTCGAGGGATTTTTTTGGTGTTTTTATCGATTTCGAATAACTTTTTTTGGTTTTTTTGATTGATTTCAATAGATTTTTTGGTTAGAGTAACGGTTTCGATTGGGGTTGGGGGCCTGTGAAAAAATATAATGGGGGAAAGTGAAAAGTAAATCGTGCAAAACCTAAATTTTAACCTAGGAAATTTTTTTTTGAGTTTTTGATTGAGGTCCTTTCCCCACTCCTTTTTGCTACTGTGTCCGCTACTGATTGTAGTCATCATAGCTACCACCTTGCCACCCACTGCCCCACTCTAGCCCCATCCCAACCGCCTCGTCCCACCCTGCCTGCCCCCAACAACCACTATATATGGAGCAGAGATAGGGCAGGAGTGGGGGGCAAGGTTGGGTAGGGTAGGGGCGGGGTGATAATTGTGACGACAACAGTAGTAACATGGTGGTTAGTAGGGTGTGGGCGGAGCGATGGACAGGATAGTCCAAACAAAGACGATTGTTTCAATTCTATTGAGAAATCTCATTCCAATTCTTACCAACCAAATGCATGACCAAATTTCATTCTAATTCCTTCAGGTGGCGTTTGGTTCGCAAATTCTGGAGGAATCTGAAGGAATTGGAATGTTGAATTCATTTGACCAGATTCATTTCCTTCGTTTGGTTCATTCTTTTCAGCGGAAGGAATCTTCAGATTCCTATAAATTCCATGGATAAAGGATTTTAACATTCCTTAGCAACTACATGGTATTTTGATGGAATGGAATCTATATCTTCATTATATCAAATATGCCCTTAACCTAATGTACTATAATCTCATAAAACTCAATATGACCATCGTCGACCACCTCTCGACGACTATTGATCTGAACCACCGCCGACCACCACCACCGACTACCACCGGCCACCACCACCACCATCGACTACCACCGGTCTGAACCACCGCCGACCACCACCACCACCGATCTGAACCACCGGCGACCACCACCGAATTGAACCACCGCCAACCACCATTGATTTGAACCACCGCCGACCACCACCATCGACTACCACCAATCTGAACCACCGCTGACCACCACCACCGACTACCACCGATCTGAACCACCGCCGATCTGAGCCACCACTGATCTGATTCACCATCAATCTGAACCACATCTGCCATCGTTACCTACACCACTGTGGACCACCATCGATCTATATCACTGCCAACCACCGACGACGACCATTGATCTGAATCACCGTCGGACACCGTCGACCACCACCGATTTGAACAACCACCGCCGCCACCGCTGACCACCTCCATCTAAACCACTGCGGACCACCATCGATTTGAATCACTGCGGACCACCACTATCTGAACCATTGTGGACCACCACCGATCTGAACCACCGCCGACCACCGTCGATTTAGTAATGTCGTTTGGCTCATGATTATATTTGGGTTGCGTATTTTATATTGTTTTACATATTAAATAATTATTTTATTAAAGTATTTTTAGTTTAAAAAAATAAAATTTTCAAAAAGGGCATTTTGGTCATTTACCAAAATTGTATTCCAATTCTAAAGCTACATTCTGTGAACCAAACAGAAAGATTCCAATTCCTTAACAGATTTCATTCTAATGTCTGCCATCCAAACATGTGGTCAAACCTGACAACATTCCATTCCAATTCATTCAAAGTCAAATTCCTTTAACAAATTTCATTCCATCCAAAAACATTCTGCGAACCAAACGCCACCTCAAAGTTAAATTCCTTTGATGGATTCTAATTTCATCAAATTTTATTCTCTAAACCAAACACCTTTTAAGAGTGGGTTTATTGGACTCTATCCGAATAATATAAGTTGGATTAGAATCAGATATGTGTAATTTAGCTTTTAGTTTACAAGTCTATTTTTAAGTTTAGTTTTTAATTTTGTGATCAAATATATCGGTATATATACAATATTATAAAACATTTGACAAAAACTCTTAAAAACCACTTTTTATGCATGAAATATTACAAGTAAATTATGCATAAGTACAACTTATTAAAACTTTATGTTTGAATTCGTGTAACTAACTGCGGATAAATATAACCAAATAGCGATAAACATCTTATTTTAAAATATAAAAAATCTAAAGGATAATTATCGAGTTCTAATAAAATAATTAATTATTATTTTTATAAGAAAATTATATTATTAAACCAAATATAAATTACTTTGTTATTGAACCTAAATTAAATTATAATAAAAAAATTGAATTAAAAATTTGCACAAAAAATATGAATTTTAAATAGTTAATTTGATACTAATATCGATACATTTTTGTCAAATTTTTATGATATCTTCAAATTTATATTTTATTCAAAAATAAAAAATTACCGCTTTTTTAAAATCACATAAGATCATATTATAACATCGACTG